GTTTATCTTGGCTCACAGTTGTAGAGATTTAAGTCTGATGGGCCCTGCTGCCATGGGCCCCAGTCAGCACAGGACACATGGCAGCACAGGACACATGGCAGGAGCAGAAGAGAAAGGCTTACTGTGGGGCTTAGTTACCATTCCTTCACTGAGACCTAAGACCTACACCGGGCTCCAGCTCTTCAAGGCCACACCAGCTCCCACCAGCTAGGGTCCAGGTCATTATCACAGGCATTCTGGGGGCTGCTCCAGACACAGAAGACATGGCTTTGCTCATTCACCCAGGATCTCACCCCAGAAACAAGACTAGAGGGCCGCGGGTCACCCTGGCTTCTCCATTGACCAGACCTTCTTGCCCTCCAACCCTCCCCAACAGACTTACCCAGAGCAGGAGCTGCTGCGGCTCATCTACTTCGGGGGTGTCCAGCCCGAGATCCGCAGGGCGGTCTGGCCCTTCCTCCTCGGTCACTACCAGTTCGGGATGACGGAGATGGAGAGGAAGGAGGTCAGTCACCCAAGGGCGATGAAAGGATCGGGGTGCTGTGGAGTGGGGTACCGTGGAGCTGGGTGCTGTGCACCTGGGTACTGTGCAGCTGGACACTGTGTACCTGGGTACTGTGACCTAGACATTGTACAGCTGGGCACTGAACCTGGGAACTGAGGAGTTGGGCATTGTACAGCTGGGCACTGCACCTGAGAACTGTGGAGATGGGTACTGTGCACCTGGGTACTGTGCACCTGGGCACTGTGCAGCTGGGTACTGCACCTGGGAACTGTGGAGTTGGGTACTGTGCACCTGGGTACTGTGTACCTGGCCACTACAGAGTCCTGGTTTCCTGTTGCAGTGTTGGTGAGAGACACAGGGAAGAGACAGGACCACTGAGGAAAGAGCCGTGTGGCGGAAATATGACACGAGGGAATCTTCAAATAAGTCAGCCTCCTGTTTTGAGGCCATATAGACTCCTGTACATATTTGTAGGCAGCACTGCAGGGACCTATGTGACCTTGACTCAGTTTCTCCCTTGGTGACCCCAGCAGATCTGTGATGTCACAGAATGCTGATGCTGGTATAGTACCTACCTCACTCAGGCCTCGCCATCCTCCTGTAATTGCGTGCGTGCGTGCGTGTGTGTATGCACATGTGCACTTATTTCCCCGTGTGTGCAGACTTGTACATTTCTGGTGCCCTAAGAATCCTCACCTTGTCCTTCTGTAGCCACACCCACCTCCATCCCACCTTAATCCCTGGCTCCTACTCACCGGTCTTCCATTTCCAGAATTTTCTCTCACCCAGGTGGTTGTATAAACAGAATCATGTAGTATGGAAATTTTGAGGGACTGACTTTTCATTCAGTATACATCTCTAGATCCACGTTCTATTATTACCCATTTCCTTTTTGTGGCTGAATTTGCCTGTGTACATCTACCACAGCTTCACTCTGAGCTGGCTGATTGGTAGCTGGGCAATGCCACGAATCTTTATTTACATTTTTTGGCAGTAATAGCTAATTACAACTGACATCCAGTGCAGGCTTTGTGTGTTGGGGAAATGCCTGGTAGTGACATCACTGTGATGGAAGCATGTTCAGTCTTGAAGAAAATGAGAAACGCCAGCAGAGACTGTCCCATCTGATATTGCCACCAGCTGTCTGAGTGGCCCTTACCTGATGGAGGGGTGGGTGGATGGATGGGAGGAGAGTGGATGAGATGGACCTATGGATGGATGGGTGGATGGACAGGTGAGTGGGTGAGATGAACCCATAGATGGGTAGATGGATGGACAGGAGAGAGTGGATGAGAAGGACCCATGGATGGGTGGGTGGATGGATGGGAGAGAGTGGATGGGATGGACCCATGGATGGATGGGTAGATGGATGGGAGAGAGTGGATGAGATGGACCCATGGATGGATGGGTGGATGGATGGGAGAGAGTGGGTGAGAAGGACCCATGGAAGGATGGGTGGATGGATGGGACAGAGTAGGTGAGATGGACCTGTAGATGGGTGGATGGATGGACAGGAGAGAGTGGATGAGATGGACCCATGGATGGGTGGATGGATGGACAGGAGAGAGTAGATGAGATGGATCCGTGGATGGGTGGGTGGATGGGTACATGGGTTGGTGGGTGAATTTGTGGATGAGAGGATGGTGGGTGGACAGATAGCAAAATCTTGCTCATCTTGTAATCTATAGGCCTGACTTGGTGCCTGGCACACTGTGGGTACTTATCAAAGAAACTAATGAGCAAATGGATTAAGTAATTAATAAACGAGGGAAGAGAGACAGCACGCAAACATTTGAATGGTTGTGTGAGTGGATGCGTCAGTAAAGGGAGAGACGGAGAGCGGAGATGAGGTAGGCTGCTCTATAGTACTCCTCAGCACAGGACCTCACCCAGCTCATACCTGTTGGGTGCTGACTACGCAAATGTAGACAGGTCCCAGCCCGGGGAACTCAGCACCTCGTGGGGCCTTATGCATCTCCTGACAGGTGGACGAGCAGATCCACGCCTGCTACGCACAAACCATGTCGGAGTGGCTGGGCTGCGAGGCGATCGTGAGACAGAGAGAGCGGGAGTCCCATGCTGCTGCCCTGGCCAAGTGCTCCTCAGGGGCTAGCCTGGACAGTCACCTTCACCGGATGCTGCACCGGGACTCCACCATCAGCAACGAGGTAACGGACCGCTGGCCTGGGAGCCTGCCGGTGGGAGGGGGACCGAGCCTTGGGACAGCCTTGCCCTTAGCTCTCTTTTTTTTGGGGGGGAGGGTCGAAGGGGGAACTTCAGAATCAGATCTAGGTTCCAAGCCCGCCCAGAGTTTCTTGCCAGCACATTTCCTTGGGGCTCGGTTCCTGCGTACGTACAGTGGGAATGGTGGAGGTGTGGGTACGGCCCTAAGAAGACAGTGCGTATCAAGATTCCAGTGCAGCGTCTGCCCCTCCGTATATTCAACTAATGTTTCCTGCATCCCCACTATGTGCAAGTACTTTCAAGAATGCTCAGAATGTTCTGGTAGCTAAGGCCGACCTCTGCTCTCGCACAGACTTTAGCTGAACAGCCTAACTGGCTGAAGCAGACTGCATGGCAGAGCTTAGCATCAGAGTAGGGAGGGCCAGGGAGGTTACAGGACAGAAAAACCGAGCCCCGAATCCCACCTGTTACTCTGGAAGGACGTAAATCCTAGCCAGAACTCTCAAGTTCAACAGAGAAATAAAAGGTGGGGTGCTCTGATGTGGAAGTTGGAAGGTGGGACCCAGAGGCCGAGGTCACCTCTGAGGAGGCTCCAGGGGACAGGTAGGGAGCTGAGGCTCTGGGAGGGGGCTTGTCCCAGTCTGGAGAAAGGATGGAAACAGGCTTCCTGGCTCCCAACCCAGCAGCAACCCCGTGTGACCTTCCATCTTGGTTTCTCTGGTTCTTGTCCCTCCCAGTCCTCCCAAAGCTGCAGCTCAGGCCGCCAGAACCTCCGACTGCAGAGCGACTCCAGCAGCAGCACCCAGGTGACTTTCAGAGGCCCCGCCCCCTCGTGCCCCGCCCCATCACCAAGCCCCGCCCTCCCACCTGGGGTTGAAGGGACTGGATGTCCGTCATTTTCCAGCCACTTTGACATTTTGGGCTTTTTATGGCTAGTCTTGGACGTGGACTCTCTTAAGTAGCACAAGCAATCGCAGCCTCCTTGGAATCCACAGTGATAGGACGCAGCCTCGGCAGACGTCAGCATGCCAGGATCCACGTTCTTTGTGTAAAGTGACAAATGTGTGCACATGACACTGCATTCTTCAGGTCGTTCACAAGAGCAGTGCAAAGTGCATGGAAATAGCCATCAGGCTGTGCCATTAGGAAGGACGGATGGACAAGTGCTTGAGCCCAGTCTGTGCAGGTGCAGTGGCTTGAGGGGGGAGGGGGGGGTTCACTCAGCATTGGTTGAATCTTGACTCAGCCTCTGTGAATTCAGAGGCTGAACACGAGTCCGCTCTCATGTAAAACATGACACCCCATGCCAGCACTTTGTTTCTGTCTCCTTCAACTCTGTCCTCCCTTGAAGCAGTGCTATAAATCCGTCCCCTGCATGGCCTTCCCGAACCTTCTGAATACCTTTACATACACAGAAATACCTAATGTACAGTAAGACTTGTAGTTCTTAAAACCCCACATAAATGCCAGCAGGTGTATTTTTCAACAGCTTTTGGTGTCACTCATAAAGGTTTGCTCCATCTGGAGCCTCATCAAACAAAAAGAAAAGCACAAAGCAGGCTGGAGAGACAGCTCAGTGGTGAAGAGCGTGAACTGTTCTTGCAGAGGACCCAGGTTCAGTTCCCAGCACCTATGTGAGATGTCTCACAACCAGGTGTAACCCCAGGAGATCTGGCGCCCTCTTCTGGACTCCAAGGGCACCTGCACTCAT